CATGGAGTAGAAAAGAAGCTTGACTACCTTCTTGAAATTTTACTTATTCAAAGTACAATACAAAGAATTGTTAATTGAATGCCTATATTTTTAAACCAAAAAATCAACATGATTCAAATAATTCATTTTTATTCGAATTATTTAAGCGAACAATCACAATTTCCAAAATAAATGTGTGAGCAGTTCTGCTGAAGAGTTTTATTAATAACTTTTTCTGAAGAAATGGGAATCAGCAGCACTGCTTTGGACGGATACATAAAACAATATTTCGCTGAAATCATTTACCATGACTCTTAACACATTGGTTTATAGTTGCACCAATTTAAAAAGTTATACAATAACCAGCTGTCATGTACAAAACACAATTTACATTTTTATATAAAATTATTAAAAACATTGACTGTTTAGGCCGATACTTAGAAAATCTAAAATAACACAGAATGTAAAAGCCATTCATACAATTTACTGTAAATTCAACAATTAATAACAATTACTGAAAAGTTTAAAAACAATAGATGAATGGCTTTGACTTAACAAAATATATGACATAGGCATGTGTAATATAAATTCACCGCACAGAATAAGTTCTTTGCAAGCAATGACATACCTCAGTTAACAGCCGTTTCAGTCCTTCCACTTCATCTTCGCCGGTGTTCAGTTCCCCACCGGGAAGCTTGAAAAAGGTAGTTCCTAGCTGCAAAAGCAAAACATGCGGCAATCCATGTTCATGTACTAATAAAACACCTTCAACACTCCTTCTCATTCCAATTCTTTCAAATTCATCTCGCATTCTTTGAAATCTGGCAGGAACGCTGGGGTCTTTCTCAAATAGTGGTTCTTTTGTTCCAAAAGTATAATTTGTAAGAGGATACCTGTTAAGATAAATGTTACAACTGAAACTGAAAACGAAGAAATATTATATAACATACAAGTTGATTATCCTGTTAATTGCAGCAGAAGGTGCGGGGAATTTTGTATCAAATGTAGATGTAGCGCCAACTACAGCAGCTGAATTTTGACTATTTCTTCGTGGCCAGCCCGTTCCACTACCGGCCATGTTGTTTTGCTGCTGTTGCTTTACTTGTGAAGAAGTCATCGCCATTTTAACGAAAAACAATCACGAAGAAACCGATTATTTTCTAACACTTTTTATTAATTTACTTTGGAACAAATTAATTATTTAGTTATATATTCACTGCAGTACACACACAATAACATCAATACATAATATACACACAAATGCGGCAACTAGATGCGACGTTACAAACTGTTCTTAGTACCTGTACCATAGACAACCTGTACTATAGATATTAATTTTTCTGATCGATACTATAACCACAGATATAACAAACAAACGTAACAGCACGAGTGGCTATGTTTGCGAATGACGGTATCTACTGTACCTATTAAATAAAACTCATGCAAAGGTATAATTTTTTTTATTCCGCAATTACAGAAATTAAACTGTTACTTTTGTAGTTTAATTCAGATCATCATCGTCGTAGACGTAAATATAGGGATGTCTTTCAATCATAACAATATCTTTTTCAAGTTGTTTTAAATCTGCTTCCATTTTCGATTTTCTGTTCATTTTTGGAATAGTATCCGTTAAAATAGGTAATCCTTGGTACTGTTTTTGTAATTCCTCCCAATTTTTCTTTAAACCCTATGAATTAACACTTTGAATGTTAAAATATAAACATAACAAGATATCATTTTTACCGCAAGTAATTCTTCCCTTTCTTCTCTTGTAATATATTTACATTTGGGCTGCTCAGTTCCAGAAACGTCATTCTTTGATTGGCGTTCTAAAATTCTTTCTTCCATCAATTGCTCAAGGTAGCTAGGAATTTTTCCGAATTCTTCTCCATATATGAATTTGGGTTCCACGCCGGAATCTATATTTTGTTTATGCCCAACTCGAGTATCTACAATATTTTTCTCTGGTTCTTTTGGTTTAGCTCCAATAGCCTTTTTAATATTTACTCGAATGTAGTTTTTTGGGGCAGGAATTTTCTCTTTCCTTCTTCGTTCTTCTTCTAAGCATTCTTTTACTGTTGGCACACACGAAAACTCTTTTGGTGGTGGTGATTCCTTTTTCCAAATTCTTCCTAATTGTTTGGGACATTTTAAAGGTTTTGGCTTAACAGAATGTTTTTTTAAAAATTCCCTAGGATCTGGTGGAGGATAATGAGCTAAACCCATGTCAGCATGTGGTTTACATCTGCTCTTCTTATAATCTTTAGCAACGAGGTTCGTATAACGTGAAATGTAGCGTGGTGATTTTTTATAAAACGTTGCTTCTTTTTGTCTAATATCGTAGATATTTTCATCATGATGAGTTATTTTAATTACGGACATCAAGTACAAAAAGTTGAGTTGACAAAACTCGTAGTGGATACGCTTAAAAAGTTTATTATTTTTGCTCTTAGCTACCGTTGTTATGAAACTATTGATAAAATTAGATCTAAAGTTTATTATTACTAGAATTGGCAGGGAAACATTCAAAATTATTTTAAAGCTTGTTTGAGATTAAAATAAAAGATGAGGAGTGGAACTTGTCATATTAAAAATTAATTCTTTGCGTCCCCCCCATTCCAAAACTTTTTTGCTAGATATAGAAAGACTAGAAGGACCAGACAGACCGAAACTAATGTTAAAACATTTATTATAAATTTCGTATTGGTGGTTACACCCTTACAAAATTTGAATCAACTAATGAACGACTCGAAATAAATATATAAATGTAATCTATTTCGATATAATATTCCACACGTGCCATATGCTATTTTATCAAAACTAAATTGTGTTAAAATGCCATGTATAACGCCGATAAGAGATTCCAAAATGAGCTCTTTTGTAGCCATATGGCATATAACAACATACGGTGGGATAAGTAAACAAAATTGAACTGTTATCCTGTAGGATTAAGTGGAAAATCGGAAAACAAACAAAGTAATTATGATAAGGAAGAAAGAAAATCCATATATAGAAGCCCACAGAGCTGAATATAAATTTCTAAATGATCTCGTCAATAATGGACAAGTGCGCTACATCCTCTTCTTCCACTACAGATAAAAATTGTTTTTTGAAAGTTAGAATAAGAAGATCCAAAGCTAACGCACGTGAGAGAAATCGAATGCATGGACTTAACGCGGCTTTAGATCGTCTTAGAAGGTAAAATATATTTGTTAAAAACGTTAGATTGTAAATTGTGACGTTCCAGTCGGATGCCTATACAACAACCAGGCGTGGATTTCCACAATACATCTCAAAAACTGTCCAAAATAGAAACATTACGTTTGGCCAGAAATTATATAATCGCTATGTCGCAAACGCTTCAAGAAGGAAAACCAATGGAACTTACGAGATTTATCAAGATTCTATGCCGAGAATTGAGTCAGACGACTGCAAATTTATTAACAGGAACATTGATGGGATATGGAGGAACCTTCATGAACAATTTTAAGAATTACTGGAACAAACAACAATACGCTAGTCATTATTCGTCGAATTTTTACGATCGTAATGAACCGTTTGGACAGGATTCCAGTTCCGATAGTTGGAGTAACTCATGGTACCATAACCCCATTAGCACCAACTGTGATTACAATACAGAAGTGTATGAAAACTTTAAATATTGTGATGTTTACCGTGATAATTCAACATATTGCAGCAAAAATTTTTTTAATTACAGAAGCAGCAATGAAAAATTTTGAAAGTTCTCTTACTTAGTTCTTAAATGTCTTTGTTACAGAACAAAACATTCCGTCTTGTTTTACTGTATCACTTCAAATTTTAAGTTCTATATTATTTCCGTCATACAATTTGTTCTGTTAGATGCATATTGGTGTTTTTTTTTCTGAAATAAATTCTATAACGAATACATAACTATTTATTAATTCTTGAACATATTTACAGAAACGAAGGAATTGTCATCGAAAAATAAACTAAAACTAATTATTTATTACATTTACTTGTATGTCGAAAATAAATTAACGCTAAAATTAATATGTAATACATCTTACAATGTTACAACCTAAGCAGAGAAGAGAGTCCTTTAGACACGCCTTCATTAAGAGATGAAATTAAAGTTTTCTAGGAAAACGTCGGAAATGGAATGCGAAGAAAACGGAAATACTGAACCTCCAGCATACATTTATAAGCATCCATATGAACAACGATTTTTTAATACGCTGTAAAATAAATAAAAATAATTCTGTAATGACTCAGGACATTATCAGACATACAAAATGATGTTCTTTGATTAATGTTATGAACTAATTATGACTAATATAACAATGCAAATTAAATCAAGCATTAAAATTGATAACTACTCCTCATTTTAAATGAACATGTCGTTCATTCATATTTTTTTTTTTGTATTTTGTAGCAAACACAGGGAGCCAACCAACTAAACTTGATTAGAAAGAATACTCACATCCTCTACCTCCATAAGTTCTACCTCCGCCTCTACCAAACTGTCGGGGCAATTGATTTCCGCTTCCGTTGTCTCTACCCCCACGGTAATTATTCCTATAACCACCGCCCCATCGAGTTTGTCTGCCACCACCATAACCTTCACTGCTATTGGCTAATTCTGACAACTTAGGATTAATAATCTGTAAAACAATGGGCGGTAATTAAGCTTGTATACCTGAAAGTGTTAATGAAACACAAAGAATAAAATATTATAAATATTTGTAAATGTGGGGAAAGTTGAGGATGGGATCCAGACTTTTATATGTGTGGACACCGAAGGCATATTTCCCAAACTGTAATTTACCTCTCAAAAGCACTCATGCTACACTGATTTCAAGGTGTAGGCATGCCAAATTAAGAGGAAGAAATAAAAATTAAACTATAAATTCACATTTATGCACTAGTAACATACCTGATTGGCTTCTTGTAATACAGATATTAAATCTTTAGCTTGTTTAAAATTGCTAGGTGTAAAAAATGCATAGGAAGTTCCTGTAGCCTCACACCTTCCTGTTCTTCCTATCCTATGAATGTAGTCTTCAGAAGAGTTTGGGTAGTCAAAGTTTATGACATACTTAATACCTTCCACATCTATTGAAAAACAATATACATGCTAAAATAATTTGTAAAAACCTATTTGCTTTAACAAAGAATGTTTTATCCAAAATACCTACAATTTTTTAAGGTTAAAATTAAAATTTAATTCATTCTAAAATAATTTGTAATGTTCAACGGAACAATAACGTTGACAGAAAAAACAGTTGGATTTCCTTACCAAGAAAAATAATGAACTTAATCCACTGCATGAAAATAGAATTTTATTTTTGCTGACATCGTCAAAGATAAAATAGGGGTAAAATGAAATGTTTTTGTTTTTTTGGTGAGTTTATAATAAAAGAAATTATAGTAATAAGAATGTGTAAGCAGTAACCTTTAATATCATACCCCACAAACTCTAACATCCCACATTTAAATCATGACTCCCCCTCCAATTCCACCTGCGTCAAATTTAATGTTACTAGAAGTTTTAATTTTTAATACCCCATCTCAAAAGGAATTATCAAAATGTTTATAAAACAAACAAGCCGTACATGTTTATAAATATGTATAGCACGTCAACAAAAAAATTAAAAAATTAACTTACGTATTATAAAGTGGGTAATTGGTTAATAAACTAAAAGGAGTCTTCAAATACTAACCATTTCACTGCCACGTCGGTCGTGATTCCGGCTATAAAAATTATCTGTATCGCAATAGTAGCAAATAGAGAAGCTGGCTGCAGCAGATCCAATAACACGCCGTTGAATACCGGTGCACAGGACCGACAGGAAGATTGGCAATACTTTATTTTAATTCAATGTCAAGACAACATCCCACGTTGTCTAAATGGTTTTTTTAATTATATGGAATGGAGTAGTCGGAAAAAAACGACAATAGGATAAAAGGGTATAATGAAATATCAGAAATGCTCATTCTTGCGAAAATAAAAACTGTAGTGGTGTTTAGATTGATTTTTTTTTTCAATGTTATACCCACAACATTGCATTTAAAAAACTTTTGTATAGAGATAAGAAAATTGGGAAATTAAAGGGAGGAAAGATCCATTTAGAAAGTTGCCACAGTTAATCTTCCAAAATCGGCCTTCTTGTCGACATGACTTTTTTTACATTAATTCATTTTTGGATAGATTTTTCATGCGTTTAACTGATCTAGCCTCGGAATAAGAGGCGGGCAGCCAGCCAGAGGCACCGCAAGAGACAGTGTTTACTTTTTTGTATTTAATTACTGATCATTTTGCATCCTTTTTAAATTCAAGAACGCAATACAGTTTGCGTAATATTAGCACTCGACTGCTAACTACGCTCATATCTCATCTCGCATGTGCCTCTGAAACAGAAAAGGACAACCAGACCGGTTAGTTATAAAAAAAAAATAAAAAGAATATACTAAGTATGAAATACTGCATACATCATAAACGTTGGAAAACTTTTTATTTTATTTGAAATATATAAAAATTTTAAACACATAAATTATAAACCTTCCCAAAAATCTACAAAGTATTAATGAGCTGAATTTTTTTATTAAAAATGACGTTTTCTTTGCAAATTTACCTACAAGATATACTACCAAATGTACACCTATCTTTAAAATATTTAACAATACCACTTTTTTTAAGAGGTAAAATTTTTTTATGATCGCCACTTAAACCAGTCTGGAATATCCAAAATTGTTATTAAAATGCTACTATGCTTCCATAGATAGTTTCTATTTTTATTATTCAGCCGTTCAAATATATGTAGTAATCTTTTACCCAAAGGATCAAATATCTCATTTGAAAGGAAAACAGGAACTACAGAAATTTGTTTATAAAAAAATTTTTGCAGTAAGCTGTTCAAACACATATCTTTTTCAATTACAATTACTATTTTTTATTAGAAGCAACGTTGAAAAAAATAATTAAAGATAACCTATCTAAAGTACCCTTTAAATTAATAATGATCCTTTATTCCCTTTTTAAGAACAAATTAATGATCTTTGGAGTAGGATTAAAAAAACTAGCAGTTAATTCTTACCAAGTCCTCGAGCTGCAACATCTGTAGCTACTAAAATATTTGATCTTCCATTACGAAACTCCCTCAGAACATTGTCCCTTTCTTGCTGACTTTTGTCCCCATGCATACAAACTGCCTGCCACCCGTATCTGCGGATATTTCGCGTGATATTTTCTACCTTCTTTTTTGTTTCAACAAATATTAACGTTTTTGAACCTGGCTCCCCATTGTTACCAATTTCTTGTAATAAATTGTTCAGCCTAGGAAAAAAGAAAAAAAGAATATTGAATTTCATATTTTAACAGTCCTGATATTTTAAAAAGAATACAATAATTCAGTTCTTCTTAGAGGACATAAAATATGTAATCAGCAATGAAATTTATGATCAATTTTTCATCATATAAAATAAATAAAAATACCTAAATTAACTTGCTTATTTAAAAAAATATCATTTTTGACTACAATTTTTTCAGAACTTACTTGACTTCTTTTTCATTCTCTTGGCAAACATCAACAATCTGCAAGATATTGTGATTGGCTGATAACTGTAAAGACCCAATATTTAAATGAATGTAGTCATTTAAAAAATCAGAAGCCAATTTTCTGACTTCTTTTGGCCAAGTGGCTGACCACATGAGAACTTGTCTATCAGGTCGAATTTGTTCAATAATCTTTCTTATTTGAGGCTCAAAACCCATGTCAAGCATTCGATCAGCCTCATCCAAAACCAAATATGTACAGCGTTCTAAATTCGTGGTCCCTTTTTCCAAAAAGTCAATCAGGCGACCTGGAGTGGCAATAACTATTTCAACACCCCTTTCTAGGTCCCTTGCTTGAGGAGCTTTTGGAGCCCCTCCAAACACACAAGTGTTACGGACATAAGAAGAATGCCCAAAATCTGAGGCAACTTGTTGAATTTGTTGAGCTAATTCACGAGTAGGAGCTAAAACCAGTACAATGGGGCCTTCCCCTCTTTGAACAGCTTCTTGATTTCTTATGTGCACTATAGCAGGAAGAATGTACGCCAAAGTCTTTCCAGATCCTGTTTGAGCAATACCCACCATATTTTTTCCACTCATAGCAATTGGCCAGCCTTGAGCTTGAATAGCTGTAGGAGCATCAAATCCTTGTTTCATTATTTCACTCAAAACATAATCAGGGAAGTTAGCTTCACTGAAATGTTGAATTGGGTTTGGGACATCATATCCATCAACAGTTATCTGTTTAGCTCTTCGAAATTGATCAACCTCAAAAGGTGACCGATTGGCAACACTTGGGTGTGGAACATAAAAGTCTTTCTTAAATGGTCTCAGTACTTTACTGTCCCAAGCTGGCCTTCGTAAACGTACATTTGGGCCTCCTTTTCTGCCAAAATTTTTATTACGATCGCCACCGAAACGGCTACCACCCGGTGGTCCGCCACTTCCAGAAGCCCTTGTTCCTATCCCACTAGGTCTCATGGCACCTCGACCACTTCCAGAGCCACCAGGTGCTCCTCTAGAGCTTCCCCCACGACTAAATCGACTGGTACCACTTGAAAATCTACTGCCCTGCTCATCACGACGTCCTCTTATGGAAGCACCACCAAAAGAACCACCTCGTCCGCCTGGACCATTTACACGATTTCCAAAACCACGAGAATTCGGTTTACTACTTGCGTATGTCCTATAAAAGTAAAATAGCATATTGAAATTAACTTTTTTTTTTTAATAATGTCCAAAGAACTGCGCAATTAGGCAATAAAAGAAATCGAACTATACCTAACAAAAATTTGTTTAAAAACTTACATGTTTTTAAAAATCGGCGAAATCTAAATGATGCTGATTGAAATCCGTCTTGTTCTTACGTTCTGTGCAAAATGCAAATATAAAAATGGCCGAATTAGTGATGAACAAAGAAGTTACAAAAGAGAAATTATAACAGTAAAATTATTAAACTAAGTTTGTTTCGACTAGAAAACATACCTGCAAGCTAATCAAAAAAAGCGAGCACAATAAAATGTAAAATCAAGAAAATCAGAAAAGTTGTACACCTCACGTTCACGGAAGCAACTAACAACGAAGAACAAAATGGCGTAAAATTATAGGCAAATTATGAGCAATGGCAGAAATATAGCCACGACAGGATGTAATAGGATGATTAGTGAAAACTATATACTGTGCTATAGACATGTGAAAACCATAGGCGAAAACTTGCAGTAAATCAATGGTAAATCAATTCGTGACCGGAAGTTTTGCGCAAACGTTTGTGGCGGTAAAATTGAAGTTTTGTCGAATGGCAAATGAGAAGAATTACACGTTTACGGATACTTTCCTTGAATGAGAATGATATATTTTTAGAAATGATATTTACATAAGTTATCGCACACATAAATTTGGATTATATTTAATTGTATTATTTACAACAATTTGCAACACAAGATAATAATAATAATAAATACAAATGTAGCTGGACTTAATTTAGCCTGTACGTTAATTTGGCTACAATGAAATATTTTCAAAAAACCTTAGTTAACTTCAAATAAAATCAGCATGTAACGCATAGAATAAAAGGTCAAAACACTCATCATAGACTTATTCGTAAACCTAAGATATATTAGGAAAGATAATGAAATGAACGAACAACTCAAGAATGAATACTACTTTATAAATGGTCGTGTTTCATGGTCGTAGTCTATCTATGGTCCTTGGGTCATAACTGGTCATAACCATGGTTACCCTTTGTATATCTATTATCTATGGTCATAACTTCAAGAACACAACAAACAATAAACATGGAAATTAAAAATGAAAATATTGAATGTCAAGTTGTAAATGAAAATAATGAGTTTGAAATAAAAAATGACAATGGTGAATTGGAATTTAAAGTTTTAGAACAAACTTCTTTTATGAATGAAATCTGTAACTTTAATGGTCTAGAAACTTCTGAAGATGGTTATCTTTGTATCATTACCAATGTTGGATTGTATATGTTTCGTTTTCGTGGGTATATGGGAAATTTTTTAAAAAAAAATCCGTCCTTTGCAAAATCATTTTTGAAGCCCAGTGAATTTTCAATAAGTGACAATTTAGGAATTAATGCAGACGGTTTTGTAGATTCAATACCTCGTTATGATTTATATGAAGTTCTTCTACGTTCAGACATTTATCCTAAGTTAAAAGTGTCTGATAAGTGTCAACCAATTTCAGTGAAGTTCTCCCCCCGAGGATTAACTTCTAAAACATATTGTGCAGTTGCTGTTTTAACCAACTTTGGCTCCTTAGAAATATTCATACGAAGAGTACATGTTAATTATGTTGAAGAATTTATATGCCTGTGTAACATTAGTCAGTGTCTTATAAACCTTTTTATGATCAATTGGAAAAATGTTGATTATAATGAACCAGAAGCACAACTAACAGAACTTAAAAAAAGAGTAGAAATGGTCACCCCCATATGTAATTATTATAGAAGTGTTACTTTTTTGTTATTTCTACTCCATTAATTTTTAGCATTTACTTGGAGTCATTTGATAAGCATTCAAGATTTAAGTTTCTGTATTCTAGTTGTTGGTCATGAAGGGGCTTTGACCTTTTGGAAAATTATTTCTCATGAGAGTGAAATAATTGAAAATGGATTGTTTTTAAAAAGAATTGAAGTACCTGTTGGAAAAATCACCACATTGAAGTGGATACAGGCAGAAGAAGATGGTAAAATTTAAGAATATTGTTTATGAACATGTTAGAATAAATATTAAAAAAACTTTAGCACTGCTGCTAGTGGGAGATAATCTTGGAAAAGCCATTGCATTGTGCATTTCTGATATAACTGAACATTCTCTATCTGTTTCTGAGGAAGTAATGATTTATGAGCAGGATTTCATCAAAATTAATTCTTTTCAAGTATTTCGAAATGAAGGATACATGTATTTATTTATCATTAAAGGAATTCATTTATTAATAGTTGTTCTAAATCAGGATGGAAAATTGGTGGATAAATCGGTAATAAGTGTAGATGGTTATCAAATAACAGGTTTGAAAACACATTAAATTCTTTTTCTTTAGAATATTATAAAGTTTTATATTTTAGGTTTGGAGCATTATGAAAAAGACCTTTACTTTGTTCTTTGTTACTCAGGAGCTTTGATTCAATTCAAAATAAATTTGGAAAATGAAAAATTAAAAATATTAAAGAAATATATTCATTTGAAAATTGATTTTAGCATTAGAAGGGCTCAGGGCTTGTATATTTCCCCAAATAGGGTGTACATTTGTATAGTAGCACCCCTGTATAAGTTAATTAATTTACGAAAAAACAAAGGCATCATCAAAGTTTTAACTTTGAAAAATTGTAGGAAAGATCCCTTGCAGATACTTTTAAATAATGAGAGTGGAAGTATTTGCAATTATTGGGATTGTTTAGAAGTATTAAGGTAAAAATATTAGAATTTCCTGGCAGTTTTAAATATTGAAGTATTGTTTCAGACTTAATGGTCTAGTTGAAAAGAAACTTCCATGTTTTGGTCTTCCTCAAAATGTTGATTATGATTTGTTTTCACTTACCAAATTAAAGACATACCTGTGGCTAGCAAAAGCCTCAGAAATGATTATTGATAAAGTCCTTTTTATTAATGAGTACAATATTAAAACATTTGACGATATAAAGATGATTTTAAAAATTAAATTAACTGTAAAACATATGGAGGACCTCTTTGAATTGTATAACAAAAATAAGACGCTTACAAAGTTTCAAATGAACAGTTTGTATTTACACAATTTATTTTTAAAAGATGTTGTGTATGATAACAGGTTGGAGAAACTTGGACTTGGAGAAAATACATTTGATAGCATTACAGTGGCTTTAACAAAATCAAATTGTTTTGAATACCCAGAAGTGCCTACTTGTTTTATATGTGAAGAAAATATCCTTTTAAGTAGTTCTTGTAGATTCATATTATGTATATAATAACGTTTAGCTATTATGAGACATTAACTAGGTAGAGGTGATTCAAAATCTCATGAGCTTTCACATGCGCGAGAGGCGGACGTTACTGCTTTCATACTGTACGTTACAAAAACATTGACTCGGCAGTTAGTCATGTGTCTCGCTGTAACACCCGGAGAGGTATTCAACCTTTTCACTGAACTGATACCATATGTATGCAAACTTTAGACATTTCTTATGCAAAACTCTTATGGGAAACTATTCCTGTTATACCAATATTAGTTCGAGTGAAAGAACAGAATAGCTTTCCAGGATGGAGCTCCAGATAAACCATAAACAGTGACGGACAATATTATGTTTAAGAGGTAGAAATATCAACATTTTAACTTATTTTCAACTTTTTTCTTCTTAAAAAGTTATCAGCAGATAAATTTTCATTGAATTTAAACCTTAATTTAATCATATACCGTTTAATTATGCAACTCGAATTATGTACATAAAAAGCACAAAGTGGTATTTATCCACTTACAGGTCATTCCTTATAAGGATATTGGTATCAGAGTTGCAACACGTTTACGCATTGATTGATTCTTCTAAATTTCACAGACAAAAAGTTGTTTATACGCAGATTAATTTAATTTGGATGATTTTATAGTTTTTTTTTGTTATTTAATACACAGCTTTCTGTATAAAGTTGTTAGTTTAGGTATTTACTATTTTTCTAATTTAAGTCCTTAACTATCTCACAGCTCATTGGTTCGAGGTGTGTGATACTTCATGAAGATAACAGATGCTCCATTTCAGACATGCAAATTGTTTGGCCCCCTTACTACAAGTGTCCATATTGTAAATGCAATGCTCATAAAGAAATTGAAGTTGAGTATTGTCCTGTCTCCTGCCCTTTCTGTGATGTACCAATGGAATACATACACAATTTTAATTCAGTGAAAACAAACGATACAAATAAATTTCTTTCATCGTCTAACGAAGATTGTGACGAGGTTGAAGCAGAGAGTGATACGGTAGAGTGTACTGCCTTTGAAGGGATTTATGTTGAGGGTGCTGATTTATTTAATATTTCTGATAACGAAGAAATGTAGTGCACGATATTAAAGAATATACGTTAGTATAACTAATTGTTGTATTATTTTCTGATGAGTGTATATGGTGACTTTTAAGAAAATAGTTTTTGAGTTTACCTTATTATAAATCGAAGAGATGTCTTGAGGTATGTGTACGAATTTTTCTGTACCATGATGCCTTCTATAGGTAGGGTAAAACGGACGCTGACATGCAACATCATAAATAAAATAACCGAACTCTCAAAATCATTTAAACAAAGCGTAACACCCCTCCAAAGCCATAAATTGCATTTATTGGGCTTATATTATTTTATTAATTTTTTGAAAAGATTACTGATTTGTACGAATTTTCCCATATCGCGTCGTATTTTTAAAAGATGATACCGCCCTTTGATGATAGCATGCACCTAATAGAATATCAATATTCTTAATATAATATATAACATTGAAATAAAGGATGTTCTTTTGTTGGAAGTCGCTCAGAGAAAGAATATGTGTTATTTGGGCAAGTCTAAGAAAAAACTATATGTACTGAATAACCATTCAAAATAAAATGTAGAGATGACTTTTGAAATTAGGTCGCTATTTAAGGAAAGTGCCATCTTACTTAAAAAATAAATTAATATATGCTTTGCATTAAACAACAAACTAATGTGAATATAATGTGCTTATTTTGTCTGTTTCTTTCCCTCAGTTTTGTTATGAATAAGCAAAGAATCTAGACAGTTAAGGGTTGAAAGGTTTATATGTAGAACCAAGACCGACGTTTCGCCGCTACCAAGATAAGTTCTTTAGTAGGATAAAACGTTGGTGTTGATTCTACACGCAAATATAAACATTTCAACCCTTAATTTCCTAAATTCTTTGCTTATAATATGCTTGTATTCGTTAGCGGTTTCAGTTTGCTAAATCAATATTTCAAAGTAATAACTATAACCATAGTAACATTACACTGTTCATTTTGATAGTTTGTTGGTTTTGTGAGGAAGTATATTTTTTTTAATCTAACGTCACGGCTTGTTTTTTTTCTAAAATTCACATTATTCTTGTTTCCCTTTAAATCAAGAATATGCCTTTGTTCGCCAGTTTAATTGAACAGCCTAGAACTACTTTACTGGATATTTTAAAGCAGAATTTGGAAATTACAAGAAGGGTATGTCAACCAAAAGTCGTTAAGAATCACAAAAATCAAAGCCAAAAAAGGGGCAAAATGGTTTTTATTATGGTAACCAACACCGACGTTTCGTCTTTTAATATAAGAACTTTTCAAGGCATGTAGATTGCAAGTTCAATTGAACACAGATGATTTCGCTTATGGAATAGGTGGATAGGTACCTATTTAGGTACCTTTAAAAACGTTTTTGATGATCCAAAATATGAGAAAATAATTAAAACAACGTACGTTGTTGCTAAAAATTACAGACAGACATTTAAAAACCATATCCGACACCATCTGCATTTATGTATTCAAAAAATCTATCTACTTACCTTGAAAATTCTTGTATTTGGGTACCAAAAGGCTAAACGTCACCGTCACTCTAAATAAAAGTGTAGGTATGTCTAAAATCAAAATACCTAAACCTAGCTGCATTTTTTTAAGCTCAAATGGATATAGCTTATATTTTACAGGTTTGTGCTTTAATTCCTTTTGATCAGTATTTAAAATATTATGAATGATGTTTAAATCCATGTGGTCAGTTTGCAGGTCAGTACTTAGATATAAAGGATCAGTACTTAAAAATAAATGGTCAATATTTAAATTCAAAGGATTAAGATGGATTTAAATACTGACATAAACAACCCTTGTGTATCTGTTTGTATGGGCTAACCTTTGAAAAGTCTGAACCGTTTTTGATAGAACTTTTACAGACTAAGTAATCTAGGCTACTTTTAGATTGTTGATTGGTTTAAACAATTTGAATTAGTTTCACCCGGTCGAAATCGCGGATAAACGCTAGTAGAATAAAATATACTTTCTACCCTTTAATTGGCTTTGATTTTTATCATAGTATCTCAAGAAAAGGAAAAAATGAAAATTATTGTGTAAACCAAATATGCTGATAAAGTAACGTAAACTTTTGCAATATTAAAGGAGACGCACATAGATAGAAAGGTATTAATTGGAGAGCATGACTTGGGAATGTCACCGAAATGGGGTGTAGGGGAGTCAATTCGAAACGTTGCTGAAGAAATAAATGAAGAGTACACCGATGAAAAATTAACTGGAGTTTTACTGTGTTATCCTATTTACTTTTGTGTAGTAATTGATGTAAGTGTAAAGTATTTTAGAAAAACCCGCAGGTATCAGCTTCGAAATAATAAGAGTATCTAGTGTTTGATGAACGAAAAGCAAATTTAAAATGTAGCACAATTTTTTCTCTATATCACTGTCTTTTTATAACGAGATTTGAGGAAATTTGCCTAAAATCACAATTGAAGTGATTAAAATTAAACTAACTATTTGATGTTTGGTTCGTTTCAGTTTGCTACAATAATTTTTCATAAAAGCAAAGATACTACCTACCCATTTTAATCGGTAATATAATATAATTTGTTAATTTTGTCCAATTTTACAAACTTTTGCAATGACCTGACGAAACTATAATGTTTGAAGAAACTTTGGCGTGTTAGTTACCGTTAATTTACAAATATCCTGCGTCTCAAATGTTTGGTAGCCGAAAAATAGTGAACGAAGAAATTAAAAAAATTGTTTGAATTTTCGCGTAAAATTTGCTGAACCAGACCCTTCGAGTTGACATTTTTCTCGGATGGTGGTAGATACAATAAATGGACAACTTCAAAGTTAAATAACTGGTTTCTAATTATATGTTATATCAAATGATACTAAGTTGATCGAAAAACCTGACCCTAACTTGGTCTTCCGTATAGCGCAATGTGAAGGTCCCAATTGGAGAACTTTTGGCTTGATTATTGTCTTTTTGACAACTGTTTCTTGTTGATATGATAGCTTATAGTTGACTGACTGGCTTTAGATTTTTTATCGTAGATTGTTGTGTAAGTTAATTCACTTCTTCGACCCAGTTGTCGAAATTCATTGGATGCCAGATTGAGAACATATGAAGCTTGAGCGGCAAAATTTAAAGATTAGGAAGGAAGAAGTATGTATTAGAAAGAGTAGGAGAACACAAGGCGCTGTGGGAGTCAATAAGGGAAAGGAGAGATAGGGTAACCTCTGAGATATGGGGAGTTAATAAGAGATGTATTAGAATAGGAGCAGGCGCAAAGAGGGGCAAAGGTGCAGAGCACATAGTGAGATATTCTAGGTTTAGGGAAATGCGAAGATTGTCTTTAGATTAACGATATAAAGTTGATTTATGAACAACTTTCAGTCACAACTTTACTGATTTTATTGATTTAGAAATAATTTTTAAATGTACTACAGTTTTTGGTATATTTTAGGGATCTGAAAACACCCTTAGTAAATTCATAACGATGCTTATAAAAAAGTATGGAAGCCAAATTAGAAAGTTTAAGATGTTGGCCCATTTTCATAATATTTACGCGGTAAGAATTTGTATTGTATGTACATTTGTTTTTGCAGAATTTTTATTGATTGTACGTAGATGAAAAGCCATAATCTTGAGCCTTCACAAATCCATTGCTTATTTCATGAATTGGTCAAAACTCCCTTTGCAATTACACATAACATACCTACAAAGAAATATCTACCTTCTTTTCAATCTCCACACTCAGGTGTCGTACCACCTATTACAAAATTTTGTTTTTAGAGATTTGTAGATGATTGGATTGTAGCATCAGGAAAGCCTCCAAAATTATGGAAAAAGATGCCTACTGACGCTGACATCGAAAGGACTTTTAAATATGTCACATTTTGCGTTAAAAAGTTGTTTGGACTTTGTACTCAAATAAAGCAGCAAACCCCGCAAGTAAGAATTTTTGCTTACATTTTGTTTTTAAGTGTAAGAAAATAATGAAATTCTCATTGTTTCTGTGTATCGGTTAATGACCGATTTCCTTTTTATATATGCTTATGATTACATACTATACAAATAATTAAGCACTTAATAGTTTCTAATTGAACATGCAGTTAAATGATTAATGTTAATTACTGGTATTGCTCTTCCCAATGTTTTTTAACTACATTTATCGATAAGTAGAAAATGTTTAATGGCATTGTTCGTTGATATTAGGTGCAAGGGGCCGTCTCCACATTGGAGATTGGTAAATCTAGCATGTCCTTTGAATATTCTACTACAACTTTGGAATCATCAATTAGCTTATTAAATACAGGTCCTGTGTCTTCTTTCGGTATGTAAATACTACGGGAGAAGTTATCAGGATGTCCATAGTCAGCATTGCCCGAGCAGAGAAATAGATTTTATGGGAAGAGATCGCAATAGATATTGTATAGAAGTTTGGATTATATCCGGGAGGATTGTCTCAAATTGGAGTGTATCCAGAAAATATTTTTCAACTTTTACCTAACCTTCGACAAGGATAATGGGGTGTAAAAATGAAGTTAAAATCCACTTACAATATTAGTCATGTCCGGGCAATGCCAACTCTGAACATCTTGCGGACTTGACCCTTACCATAAACATAAAAACGGTAACCGTGCTGTTACAAAATGTAACAGAAATTTTCAATGAAGTTTTTCTGTGCGCCTTCTCATACTTGATGCTTTTAGGGTTACGTATGCTCGAATAAAAAACGGAATCCTTGTAGGATCACTCGTGTGTTTGTCAGTCCGTTTTTTGATTTATATTTTTTTAACATAAGCATCTATATTTTTTGTTAAAATCCACTAGAACTTGGTTATAGTGACATCTTAGGGATCGGCAATAATTTGAGATAATAACCGGGTGTCGTTACTAAAAGGGTGTACGTATTATATGTAACTTGTACACAAACTGAACTATTCCGGAAGCACTTTTCACTAACTATGCAGTCCGTATGCCCCCCCCCTCTTCTTTTGTCTATCCTTTCCACCAGCTGATGCTGAAGGGCAAACAGTCCCTCTGGACTACACCGGAGCGTAAGGCGGAAGGCACTCTTTTAAGAATCTGGAAAGGGTATTTGGTGATTAGGGTGAGAAAGATGAGACTAACGAAATGAAGACAGTAGAGAGTGATTATCTAATGAACCCCAACCTTTGCCTTAGTGATCCAATCACAGAAAAACTTGGACCAATGCAGATGACGGAATTGAACCAGCGTTCTCCCGAATGCTAAACATTGGTCTAAACCTTTAGGCCATGCTACTAGGTAAAAAAACCCATATGAAGTTACCTATGAGCTATAAATAACGAACGACATGATCTAGAGAGGTTCACACCTTTGCTTATCATTCTTGAGGATACCAGTTCGATCCCAGGTCCATCTGCCTTGCTCCAAACTTTTTATAGTTTCATTACATCATTTAGGCAAATGCAGGGGTAGTAATATTCCACAGATAATCTTTCACTCTCTACTGTCTTCATTTCGTTAGCCTCATCTTTCCTTTCCGCCCTACCTCCAGGTGTAGTCCGGAGGGACTGGCCTCTCACCAGAATTAGTGGCTGGTGGGAATGAGATACCCAAGCTTTTTGGCAATGAGTATGCAGGCATCTGTAGTATGTGCTAACAGGGGCAGTAGGGAATACGCAACATTGCTGCCAAAGGGCTAAAGTACTGATAACATTACAACCATTTTAAGGGTTTGTATTAGGAATAAAAATATGTCTTAAATCCAAGTTTGTTGTTTATAAACGTTGGTTTTAATAGTAAATTTGAAAGACTATTGAAAAATGACGTTACATTAGAGTTGTCGTTATAACCGATGCTGTCGTAACCAAGTTCTACTGCATTTCATTTTCCACTCCTTGTGTTTTGATAACTAAATATCTAGAGTCGTCTGTGGTCTCTATTGCACGGTAAACATTCTAAGAGTTCGCTACAACGAAGAATGTAATTATACCTACATGTTAAAAACGATTTGTTGTGCCCGAACAAGGCTATCATATCCGGATAAAATGGAAAGTCAATATAAAAATTTTTAGTTTTCGCGCTCTATGCACAAGTAATTTCTGTCAGTGGTTCCATGCTAAGCTTAAGCCAGTTTCACTGTATTATTATTTAGCGATAATAAACAAAAGTATTTTAAGGTGCACAAGATAAAGGTAATAAATGGAGAGACTTTCTTCCCGAATATGGATTACTTCAGTTTCTTTTGGATTCACCTTACGTAACTAATGTTTTTGATCTGCTCAATAAAATGAAAACAGTTCCAGTATTGGATATAACAGAAGGTATTTCATTGGAAAATAAAATCAGAAACGAACAGCTACCTACCGTCTTATTGTTTACTTTTAGATTTTTGTTGGCCTCATGGAGAATCTATAAATATTGATGATTTTTTCAATAAACCTAGTGATCCGGCTTCCGATCTTCCACTTCGGTAATTGACTTGATGTAGGTACCTACATATATATGCAGAATATGCTTGGATATTGGACGAAGTTATTCCTTTTAAATGTAAAGGATTCGCTTTTAAATAATAATGTATTTAAGTTTAATAAACTAATAAAAGTTACTCATTTTTCATTTACCCGCATGCATCCTTTGCCATTAGATATTATACTTCGTTTACTTTCTGTAGCGATGTGACCTTCAGTTTGACCGGTGCAAAGTAGAAAAGAACAGCACTAGACCAGAAAAGGAAGGAGACAACTCTCGGCCAAACTCTTAACCGATGAGGAGCGTATAATCCGTACAGTACTGCACGGAAAAATTGACCATTTTATCCACTACAATTGCATTGCTCAAATGTGCTGTTATTGATACCATTTACTACTGAAAATATCAACGAGATGTTTATTTATATTTGAAGACATATTAAAGGCTTTAACGCTTGTTTTCGACTCGCACTACTATTCATGATTGAGGAAAACTTTTGGCAGGTACTGTATGAAAGAGTATGTTTAATGAACAAGAGTCGAGAGTAAAATGAGCTTTTTCTCCCTACTTATGATTTTGCCAGCGCACATCCAAGATATTGGAAGGGGCACATCAAGTAAATGAAGTATATCAACAAAGTTATTTAACAGAGAAAAATGTACCTACGTAAAGGCATTACAAATTTTGGTAAATTCTGGTTTCCATTCATTGATTTGAGGCAATCCAAGGTGGTCAGTCCTTTTCTTCGTTTACTCTCTGTATTGATGTAATTGATGGTTTCGTTTTCATGTCAATTAGTCAATATGGAATAAAAATCTAGCTACATTTGTATTCACTTTTCCGTAACTGGAAAATGCATAACAGATCTGCAGTGGTAAGGATATTTCGTGAAAGCTTTGCTGCGATTTTGTTTTTCGAAAATTTTTATATGCCCTACAGACAAAAATAATTTGGTTCATGCCTGAAATAAATTATTCACAATGGAAAAAAGGGCGGAAGAACTATTAGGGTTTAGAAGAAAGGGGGGAACGCGGGAGGCCCTTCTAGCTTTAGGGGTAATAATAGAGAAAACGATAGAAAAAGGAAAGAGTGTGTACATAGGATTTGTAGATTTAGAAAAGGTTTTTGAGAATGTGGAATGGGACAAGATGTTAAATATACTTAAAAATGTAGGGATGAGTTACAAAGGTTTAAGAGTAATACTTAGTTTGTATAAAAAGCAACAGGTAGGGAAGTATATTATACCTATACTGGGAATACACAATAACACCAACTTTATAAAAAAAAAAAAATTGAAACAAAAATACTGGTATGCAATGGAAGAAAAAGTAAGGAAAGAGCGAATATAAAGATAGGAGACGACAGATTGGAAGAAGTGGCTCATTTTATAGTAAGTATCCAGCAAGTCAAATAAGTCAGGACCGCAGGAATAGTAGGGATGCAAACCAGAGGGCAGCGCAGGATCGAGTCGCCTTCAATAAAAAAAGTCACTTCTATGCTTGCGAACGGTTAATTTAGAAATTTGAAAAAGATTGTTAAAGGTGTATGTTTGGAGCACGGCGCTGTACGGATGCGAAACATGGAAAGTGGGTTCGGCGGAAAAAAAAATGGTTAGAAGCGTTCTAAATGTGGTGTACAGGTGAATCATGATGATACCGTGGATAGAGAAGGTTAGAAATGAAGAGGTATTAGAAAGAATAGGAGAATAGAGGACTGTATGGAAGTCAATAAGAAATAGGCGAGATAGGTTAGTAGGACACCTTCTCAGGCATGAAGGTCTAGTCAGAGACGTGTTAGAGGCAGAAATATGAGTTAATAGGAGTAGAGGTAGACCCAGATTAGACTAGGTACTGTTCGCAAATAGTTAAGGATGTGGGTTGTTCTAATTTTAGGGAAATGCGAAGGTTAGCTCAGGATAGGAAAGACTGGAGGTACGTGTCCAACTAGTCTTAAGATGACCTGATGACGATGATACATATTGTGGCGTGCGTGTCTATTTGCGAGACTGGAGCTGGATGAGGACGTGACTATGGTTTATTTTCGAAGCACTAAGAAGAAGATAAATCTATTCATGAGACTGATTTATTCGAAATATTTACAGAGTATTTGTACAATAATTATTTAGATGAGTTAAATGTAAAATGTCTATCTAGCATTGCTTGCATACATGTATAACGTTTTATGAATTATATGTACCAGAAGGAACTGCCCCTTGGTGATTAACGATATTGGTCATCATTGTGTGAAATATTTTGGGAAATATTGAGCGGGTTTTTTAGTTGATTGTGAAATGCTAGATTAGATTACTGTTCGCAAATAGTTAAGGATGTGGGTTGTTCTAGTTTCAGACCGAGCGGCATGGCCTAGAGGTTCAGACCATTGCTTAGCATTCGGGAGGACGCCGGTTCGATTCTGCCTCCGTCTGCCTTGGTCCAAGTTTTTCTGTGGTTTCCTTGGATCACTTAGGCAAATGCTGAGGCAGTAATTTTCCACAGATAATCTTTCATTCTCTTCTGTCTTTATTTCGTCCGTCTCAACTTTCTCACCCGAACCACCACCCACCCATTCCCACGATTCCTGAAAGCAGGCTGAAGAGGACCTTCCGCCCTACCTTCCGGCATAGTCCGTAGGGACTGCCCGCCCGCCAGCATTACTGGCTGGTGGGAATGAAACACCCAAAAGTTTTTTTTTCTAGTTTCAGGGAAAAGCGAATATTAGCTCAGGATAGGAATGAGTGGAGGTGCGTGTTCATAATGAAATATCAAAAAGGATTTATTAATAAAAGCATTTTTATTTGTACTTGTTAGAATAAATGTTTATTAAATGTAGTAAACAATGGATAAATGACAAAGAAAACCACACAATTATTTATTTCGAGATTATTTTACTCCATACGTTCTACAGATTCGTCTGTAGTAACTTTCCTTATGGCCTTTGAAACATCCATAAAGATCGTTTAGCTTGATACAATCCAAAACTGACATTCCTTCTCTTTGTCCCACAGAGACTCCTTCCTTTTTAGGTGTAATTGTTGGTTTACTTCTGTCCACAGCGAAGAAATTGTTACCATAATGCATAAGAGAATTATAGTCGTATGGATATTTGGTGAATGCCTTGTGATACGGTTGTATTTTGAAATTTTGCAAGCTATCTATAAATTAATGAAATATTGATTTGTATTCGAAATAAACAATTTATTTTTCAACAAACAATAGATTAATAATGGTAACGACTTTCGAAATTGCTATTTTTCACGATTAGATATTTTCCCCAAAGATCTTTGTTGTGATAGGTATAATACCAAAATATTCGTGTTTTTGTTTTACTTTTTCTATCGGCATAGTCAAATAGGTATTTAATTTGAAAAATGGAGTATTTGAAAGTTTCTCTGGTAGACGTGTTACGATTGTAATTTACAACTGAGATCTCAACCTTCATTATCATCATCATCATAAGGTCGTCAGTCCTAAAATTGGTTAGACACGCACTTCCACTCTTTCCTATCCTGAGCTAATCTTCGAATTAGCCTAAAACCTGAATATCTTACATCCTTAACTATTTGTGAACAGTAATCTAATCTAGGTCTACTTCTACTCCTCCTAACTCCCATTTCTGCCTCTAATATCTCTCTGACTAGGCCTTCATGCCTGAGAAGGTGTCCTACCAACCTATTTCGTCTATTGGCCATCCAAATGACTCCGGTCCCACTAATACTTTTTAATCAATCTTTGAAGATATATTTATATTAATATACGGTCAGTTTTGGCTAAAGAAATTTATGTACCAAAACCCAAAATGGCTTTTAGAGGTCATAAAACTTTGTGATGATTTTCATTTTGAAAACGTTTTGTTATATATCAGACACGTTGTTTTCCAAATTTCATCTCATATTAACGTAAATCTACCTGCACGAGCTGGTTATCAATATATTTAGCATATCTAGTATACTTCGTTTGGTTTCTGTAGCGATGTGACCTTCAGTTTGACCGGCGCAAAGTAGAAAAGAACGGCACTAGGCCAGAAAAGAAAGGAAACAACTCTCGGCCAAACTCTTAACCGGCGAGGAGCGTAAAATCTATACAGTACTGCACGGAAAAATTGACCATTTTATCCACTACAATTGCATTGCTCAAATGTGCTGTTATTGATACCATTTACTACTGAAAATATCAACGAGATGTTTATTTATATTTGAAGACATATTAAAGGCTTTAACGCTTGTTTTCGACACTACTATCGATGATTGAACAAAAATTTTGGCAGGCATTGTATGAAAAAGTATGTTCAATGAACAAGAGTCTAGACGTCTAGAGTATAATGAGCTTTTTTCTCCCTACCTACGATTTTGCCAGCGCGCATCCAAGACATTGGAAGGGGAACATCGCTAGAGAAAGAAAATGAAGTATATATTACTACGTGTCACTGAATAAACCCACTTTGTACCTTCGGCCAGTGGTTATACTAACGCCAACCCCATAATAATTGTATGAAATACTACATTTCGAGTTTAGACAGTAACAAAAGTATTCATTCTCGTATTTATATATATATATATATATTGAATAATTACTTGGTTTTATGTTGTCTCTATGTAAGTCAATATACTTATCCCTGTCCCATCGTGATTGTTCATGGAAAGTTCCCAAAGCGTGCATTATTTCATGAATAGGAGTTCCTTCACTAGCTAGACATCCAGGGCTATAATCCGTTGGGGCTTGTAAACTAACAACCTGCTCACCACCCCGTCGGCCCACATGGGACCAGCAACCCGAAGGGTCCTTGACGGGTTGAATATGAATATAATCGACAGTCTGTCTATCCCACGGAATTAATTTTACACAAGTCATATAATTAATTTTCTCAATTGCTCCATGAATTAATTGTGTAGATGCTTCGTCTAAAATGATTGAAATTAAAATTACATTTATTTAGGTAACAAGTTCTATTCGATGAGAACTATTTGTTAGTGGTTTGTTGTCAGAAATAATAGGTGTTTTTATCGAAGTCAAGTCAAATACTACTATCCAAACAGGACTTTCTCATCCATATGAAAACATTACAATGGAATGACTCGACTATTACAATTTATCAAATATGACAAAGTCTGATAATACGAAAACCCTTGTTAAGACCAATTGTGATACTAGTCGACCTTAGATGTAAGCAATGATAGAAATTCGAGGTATAATTTTTTGTTTTATTACTTTTGTGATTGAAAAATAGAAACTTATTGTTGTATTTTTAAATTTTGTAGGTAGTTTGAAAATGACTGAAATGGACAGTCGAAACGTCGCTTTTACAATAAAGAAAGTTCAAATATAGAACATATCGTTGGTTAATTGGCGAGATTAGAGTCATTTTTCACATTTTGATTGCAGTTTGTATTTGATATTATTAAAGTAGAAACTGGGCTTGAAAACTATTCAAACATAAACAGCAATAGATTACAGTAAAATGTAAAATAAACATGTGCATTTTGTGTTTTGAATTTTAATTGTAAATAGAACTAAGTTTAACTTAAATTTCAAATATGTATATCCCATCTCTGCTTACTGTATAATTCACTTATATAGTAAGATACAATTCCATTTTTCCAAATTTTGTCTGGAAAGTTAGTCCACCTAAATCCTACCCTCCATTTGTCATACATCGCTTCGTCCATGGCTATGTCTCCCTCAAATAACCCAGGTTTTACTTCCTCGTCTTGATCTTGGAGTTTCTTGGTTTCTTCTGGTGCTAGTCTCATTAAAATATTTTCAGGCTTTTTAGAATTATCCGAAGTACATTCGACTGCAGCAGGCACTAAAAGCTATGTGATTGAGCTTCATAGAAACTTAGTAAGCTATTGTTGTTTCAAAATTTACAAACTAAACATTCAAGTCTATATAACTTTTATAACTTTTTTAAAAAACCAATTAAGTACGTAACTATAAAAGAACACATACATACATGGCCAATATTTACGGTAAAATGATAAGAACAGTATAAGTGCTTGGTTATTAGATCTCATCAGCAGACCAGAGGCAGATTTTTAAAAGCAAACTGATTAATCTAGTTTAATTTTTATATTTAAATATTAAGTCCAAAAATCTTTTTGTTAGGTCCACACGCTTGCAACCAGACAGAAAGACAAAACCATGACAATATTCACTTCGTTAGTGTTGTCTCTTTCTATCCTGAACATATAATTCTAACCTAACGGAACATAGTCTTCAGTGTAGTATTTGTTTTATATTTTTGTGCTAATATATTGTTTATTTTTTAGATTAGATTTAATGTGATTCAGAGCGTTTGTTTTTTAATGTTAACAGCCAACCTCTAGTAACCGTTTATTCCGTTATGTAGTACTAATTTAATTATGTATATATAGGAAGCTCTATTATCGGCATTATTTACATTCTCCATCCACGTAACTGCGCGTTTCGGTGGACACCTATGTTGCAATTTTACGTACAGGATCTTGTTGAAAAATTTTTTTGTCCTTACCCCGCTGCTGAAGTCACCGTAAGATTGTTAATTGCATTTGTACTTTACACTCTCCGAAGCACTTATTTTTAGTACACCCTGTATAAGTGCATATGTATGTATGTCAGACTTTCAAAATTTTAGTTTGAATCATAACATCTATACTAACCACGGCCAAGTGGAGGTAGGATTGATGATTTTAAATTAGCCACTGTCTTAGGCACACAATAACCCGAGAAGTAGGTAACCATAACGAGTATCACAGCTGTTACCATTTGATTCATTTTTGTTATGAAAATTGCCACAAGTTGTTTGTTGGAAATTAAAATTACAATTAACTGATTTTCTATCATAAAAATTGAAATCAGTTAAACGAAGTGATATAAAATGGTAATTACACATTTCAATTTAATTGTTCATTGAGTTTGATTTTAAAAGGTTTTAAAAAAAATATTACAACTAAATTTTGATTATCCGTAAATTAGTCAAGAAACAAAACAATGGATTTCTGATATAAAATGACAATGACACATTTCATCTTTTTGATTTCTGTAATTTTTAATGTCTTACAAATTTGCGACGATTGTAAATTCGACGTATTTAATAGGTTTTTTCATTCTATTATTCCTAATGTGTCTCTGTGTTCTGTTAAGATTGTTTTCCTTTTGTTATGTAAATTTGATTTTCTGTTAAAGAAAGCGCCTGCTTCACTTCATTCAATTACAATGGCTACGTAAATAATATTTAAGGTTTGAGTGCAGATATTATTAACATAAATATAGAATCTATACTTACAATTACTATAATGATAGTCATTCTTCTAATAAGTTAACAGCGATACACATATACAAGGTTTCATATGAAGGAATCTAGTAAAAAATATACCTAAATGTTTTCCCTTATTTTCTCTTAATATTTTCTATTCCTAATGTTATCATTAAAATTAAAAGGAAAATCTTTCTCGTACTATTTTTGGTTTTCTCTTCTTTATGAAATTATCAAACGATATTGATTTTTATTGTAAGCATTNACCCGACTCCGCGCTGCTCTTTTTACTTTAAATCGCGCTTTTTCTGTCTTGAGTTATCTAACTCTCTAAATATTGAAAATCTGTTTTTTTTTTCGTCTCCTACTATTTTTATGTTAGCTTTAACTTTACATTTAAATTCTTTAGATGCTATTATTTTTGTTTCGTTTTTATGAATTTTCTTGACTTACTTTAGCGTCAATACCGCTGCCATTTCATCTATAGCTATAAGCTACATATATGTGGTAATAATTGAAAAAGAATTTAGAAGCTATCAAAAAGTGGTGTTATCGGAAGATGTTAAAAAGAGGAACTATTAGAAAAAGTTAGAGAACACAGAGCGCACTATGGAAGTAAATAAGAAAAAGGTGAGATAGGTCGGATAGGACACATTCTCAGCGACGAAATTAGTTACAGACATTACACGCAACAACAGGAGTTAAAAGGGGCTGAGGTAGATTTAGAATGATTATTGTTCGCAAAGAGGGATTTCTTTAGTTTTCGAGAAATTTGATGATTGGTTCACGCTCAACAAGTCTTTGGGCTCAAAATCTTATGATGATGCTAACTTTTAAAAAATGAATTATTAATTTGTCCTTTTCGCACGCTACTGCTAAGCTGTTCCGCTGATTCTTATTACTTACTTCTGACTACCTCCTCCTGTGGGACCAGGGAAACCAAAATTCGACATTTACAGATGTTTAATTAAAATTATAGATTAAACAGTACTGTTTGAAAATAAATAAAAGTAAAACAAAAATATTGGTATGTAAAGGAAGAAAAAGTACGGAAAAAGCGAATAGGAGAAGAAGTGGTTGATTTTCTGTATCTAGAAAGTCAGATAATTCAGAATAGAAGGAGCAGTAGATATATATNGCAGGGTCGAGTCGTCTTCAATAAAAAGAAGTCCCTTGTATGTTCGCGAACGGTTAATTTAGAAATTTGAAAAAGATTATTAAAGATGTACGTTTGGCGAGGGGTGCTGTACGGGTGCGAAACATAGACATCGGGCGTGACGGAAAAGAAAAGGTTAGAAGCGTTCGAAATGAGAAGGTTAGAAATGAAGTGGTATTAGAACGAATAAGAGAACTGAGAACTCTAAGGAAATCAATGAGAAATAGGAGAGATAGGCTGGTAGAACAACTTCTCAGACATGAAGGACCAGTCAGGGATATATAGGAAGCAGAAACAGAAACAGATAGTTAAGGATGTGGGATGTTCAAGTTTTAGGGAAATGCGAAGATTAGCTCACGATAGGAAAGAGTGGAGGTGCGTGTTCAACCAGTCTTAGGACTGACCACCATGATGATGATTCTTAATTCTTGTAGTAGCACGTCTTACTTATTAACGTTATTATTTTAAAATTAATACAATAAATGGTCACGAAAATAAACGATTTTGATTAATGGTTATTCTGATCCGAGAAAAATGGTAGAAATTTTTGTGAACTCTCTCCTTCCTAAAATCCTGGATCCAGGTCTCACACAAGCAAAAGTTTGTAAGGATCGTTAATATTGTGGTACCTTTTGCATTAAAATTTTTTGTTAATAGACTTAGTACAATTTGTACTATATGTAACTTAGTTGGAACTGTTAAACATGTCCATACAATACCAAATTATGAGGAAACGTTTAATTGCTGGTTTTAACAATGGAAAATTAAACTACTTCTACTAGCAAAATATTTAAATGAGATACGTATCCATAACCTTCAATATTCACAAGTCAAGGTACAAAATATAATATTTTTATATTTTTGTTGTTAGTTATGTCAATGAATGCAAAATCTATGTAATACTTTCTTACGGTTAGTACAAATTATTGTATTGTGTGTGTTCTGATAATGTATTTTGTACATGCATACATCGTTTTACAAATAATTGTTTTCGTTACAACTGAAGGTATATTAATATAATTAAGTCGCCATTAGATAGTGATATAATTGTCCTTACACATTTTCCTGATTAACAGAATACGTTCTTCAAACTGTATCTAGTAGTTCTCCATTAAGGATTTCGCTGAGGGAATCAACTATTTATATTGAACTCGTCAAACTTACGGGACGGACTAATAGTTGTGTGTAAAAACAAATACCGCACGCAGATGAAGTTATCATACAATAAAAAATAAATTAAGAATTGTATTTTATTTGTATCATTAACATGGGTGTAGCGAAAGTATTTTCCTAGGGAGAGGGGTAGATTTTTAATAGCTGTAAATTTATGTAGTTTTAGTACGTTTGGTTTCTATGTTTTTAAACTTCGTGTTGAAATCGTGACTCGTTAAAGACTTTTTCAGGGGAGGCAATGAGCTTGCCAGGGAGGGGGCGGTGCCCCCATTGCCCTTACCTATTTACGGCCATGGTCATTAAAACGGATTCTGACTTGTTTTCACTTTCTTTCAAGTTCAAATTCCAATTTTTAATATTTACTGTAAGATCGTTATTTTTACTTTTAAGAAAATCCTCTTCAGTATCAACCTCCCGAAGTAAGTCCTGCATTATTCGAAGGTGATTTAGAATGGGATGAAGGAATTGATACAAAAAGAAGATTGGGAGTAATCATCCAGCAAAAGCTTTGGACCAACAAAACCGTACCTTACCTTATCAGCAAAAAATATAGTTAGTTTATTTTCATTGTATACCATCAGGTTTTTACAATCTACACGATTACAATCTTTTGCCTTAACACTAAATTTCCTATACAATGTGTTATACGATGAACCCAAGGTTGTTCCCCATTCCTTGTTTGCCCACCATCTGTCTAAACTGTCCTTAAATGAATCTCTTCATATTCCCTTTAATCCCAAAAGATTCGACAGAATTCAGTAACTTCCAAATTCTCAACCACCTCCCTTACCTTTCCACCTCATTTCGATGGTTTTTTATTTAGAATATCCCTCATTTCTTCCCTTAAATAAATTTTTGACTATTTCTCGTTTGGCATTCCTATAATATCCCTGAGATCGAAATGCGCGTTCGCTCACTATGTACTCTAAATACCCGAATTGTACTTTACCCATTGCATACATTACAATAAATTATTGTTAAGGACATACCTTTTCTTAGGCAATTTCTTTAAATATAAACATTTTCAGACAATAGAGAAAAAAAGTACATTCGGAAAGCAATTAATGTCATTAACCGTATGACTTGCATTGAACTTATTCCGAGGATGAAAAATGAAGTCGACTATCTTTATTTCAAAAATAGCAAGAAACATTCCGGATGCAGCTCTTATGTTGGCCGAAGAGGAGGAAAACAAAACATTTATTTACAAAAGCGTAATTCAATGGGCGGCAATTGTTTCAGAAGAACTGGTACAATAATTCACGAAATAATGCATTCATTAGGAGTACTTCATGAGCAGTCCAGATTGGACAGAGACGAGTATATAACTATACACTTTGAAAATATCATGCCAGGTAACAATGACGATTTCTTCTTACATTATAATTGACCTACTTAATAATATAGGGTTGTTCGGAAAGTCATTTCGTTTTTTTTTGTGGAAATGAAAGACAGTTTTCGTATAATAAACAAATACTTTATTAAATTATATATTGACCGTTCTGGTCCAACACCTTTTGCCATCTTTCTGGTAGTAGTATAATTCCACGCTCATAAAATTTTTGGTCTTTGCTGGCAAAAAACTGATCGAGGAGGTTTTTGACCTCCTCATTTGAGGTGAAGGTTTTACCGTCTAAAAAATTTTGGAGTGACCGGAACAAATAATAATCCGATGGTGCCAGGTCTGGACAATATGGTGGGTGTAGCATTGTATCCCATTCAAGCTGTAAAAGCTTTTGGCGAGTGACCAAACTTGTGTGAGGTCTCGCGTTGTCTTGGTGAAACACTACACCTTTCCTGTTGATTAGTTCTGACCTTTCCTGTTGAAGTGCATCATTCAGTTTGTCCAGCTGATGACAGTTATCCGATAAAAAGCTCAAGAAAAACAATTCCTTTAAAATCCCACCAAACAGACAGCATCACCTTTTTTGGTGAATATCGGCTTTGGAAATGGTTTGAGCCGGTTCATCTTTTTTGCTCCATGACCTCTTGCGTTTGACGTTGTTGAAACCCATTTTTCGTCCCCAGTGATGATGCGCTTCAAAAACGGATCATTTTCGTGACGTTTGAGAAGCGAATCGCAGACGTCAATGCGGCGACACAGATTTCTCTCTGTGAGAACATGGGGAACCCATACATCGAGCTTCAAGGATATTCCCAGGCCTTTCAAGTGGTCATAAACTGTTGAATTTGATAAATTTAACCTCAATCCGATCTCACGTGTTGTTATTCGCCGGTTCACATCAACTAATGCCTTTATCGCGTCTTTATCAGCTTCAACCGGCCTTCCCGAACGTGGTGCATTTTCGACATCAAAATTGCCGGATCGAAATTTAGCGAACCAGTTCTGGCACTGGCGTACTGTCAACACACCTTCTCCATACACATCAGTCAATTTCTTTCTGGCTTGAACAGCATTTTTACCCTTTCTGTAGTAAAACAGTAAGATATGTCGAAAATGCTGCTTATCGCTCTCCATATTTAAAAGGGTACCAACCAAAAACTACTGCGTAGAATTAATTGGAATTTTTCACACACAAGCCTTGCTATATGAGCTCTCAAAGCATATAAAAATTAAATTATACGGCTTAAATGTGAAGTTGGGTGCAAAAGAATACAATTAAATCCTCTGTCGGGAAAAAACGAAATGACTTTCCGAACAACCCAATAAGAATCTTTATGTAGAAGTATATTTGAAGCTAACTAGTGAGATCAGAGATTTAAACTTCAAGGATTGTGGTAAAATTGCTAAAATAAACAGGAGATTAAAGATTAAATGATGTTTATAGAAACAAACAATGACCAAAGCAAGGTATGAAAATGGTTGAAGAAATTTTGAGAAAGTGAAAATCAAAATTCTGGAAAAACCAGCAAAGAAACTGAGAGGGTGGAAGTATATTAATTTTGGTTTTTCTACATATTTCTCTTTAAATCACTTCATCGACCTCTGTAGTTTGCTCTGGTGTCATTACTGTTTCTACAAATATTATTTAATTTTCTGTATTTTTCTTCATAATGAAATAGTTAAATAGATACACAAAGATACTTTGTTAGTTTCATTCATATATTAGAAATTATTCTGATAATAAAAACTAATATTTAGAATCTAATCAAGTGTTTCAATTTATATATCTATTCTACCATTTAAATGTTCTCCGAACGTTCAATTACTATTCTCATTTATTGAAGATTTAATATCATTAATTGTCAAAGGTATCGCATAATAAAAAAATCAGTTTAATTGACATTGTCAGCTAATCACAGGTACTGATATAGATTTTGTTTTATAGGTGCCGAGAAAAATTTCAGAAAGACGGTACATAGTTTTGCTACCTCCAAATTCCAATACGATATAAACTCGATTATGCATTATGGTGGGAACTACTTCAGCATAGATGAAAAAAAACCGACAATAACTGCAAAAAAAGCAGGAAGTATAAAACTGGGACAAAGGAAAGGAATGTCGATTTTGGATTGTTTAAAGTTAAACCATATGTATGGATGTCTCCAAGAACCCAACGAAAAGAAGCGATACCAGAGCATTTGTAATTCTTTCGGAATACAATAAATTAAAAAATCAACTGCGTGTCAAGCTCTTCCAATATATCTTGATACTGAAATACTTATAATAAGCACCTACTGTATATCTATGTAGATTGGTATATGTAAAAATAACTAAATGATTATTGATGCTCTTTCATTTCTCAGAGTTTGTAATAGGAGTAATTTCTTTGAAACATTAAACTTATTAAACCATGTTCATATTTGTTAATTATTATTATTTCCAATTTTTCCGTTTAATACTTTAAGAATAAATGTAATAGGGCAAACAATTTTCATAATTTTCAATTTCTATTCAAAAATTATGTCATTTTCTACCTTAGTTAGATTTCAATCCTTTATTATTATTAGTATTATCCATAATTAACTCATAAAACAAAATTGTGTTTTACTCCCATCAATTGATAATAGGAGGTTGGCTATTCCACTGATCTACAGTATGGGAATGGTTAAGCCCTCTGTAGTATCCTTTAGTATGTGAACGGGTGGAAGGTGGTATTTATGGAGAGGAAGATGATACGGACGAAACAAAGACAGGAGAGACCTGAAAGATTTTTTTACCATTTTCATGTTACACACCCACCAACTAATGCAACTGGGAGGGCTATTTCACTGTAGTGCAAAGTAATGGCTAAAGCCAAAAGCCTCCTTCAGTCTCCTTTAAAAATAGTGGGAATTGTGGTGGATGGCGGTAGTTGGGAAGAGACAGATAAAACGGACAAAGTGAAGATAAATACGTCCCACTGACGTATACTGTGGTATAAAATGATGGCTAAGGTCAAGAGTCTTCTTTACTCGACTTTAGGAATGGTGTGGGAATGGGTAGGCGGTGGTGGTTAAAGAGAAACAAATGGAACGGATGAAATGAAGACAGGAGAAAAGTGAAACATTTTCTATGGATTATTATTATTCTGGTGTTTCACTCCTTACACCGCCGTTGATGCAGCTGTGATGTAAAGTGATGGCTATGATCAAAAGTCTTCTTTATTCGCCTTTAGGAATGGTGTGGGAATGGATAGGTGGCGGTGGTGGGTAAGTAGAGGCAGATGAAACGGAAGAAATGAATACAGAAGAGAAGTGAATGTTTTTTTTGTAGAATATTCGCATATTTGTGTTTCACTCCCATCAGTTGATGCTTATGGGTGGACTGTTCTACTAACTTACACTTTGGTGTGAAGTGATGGATAAGGCGGAAAGCTCTCCTTAATGTTTTTTAGCCACATAGCGAATGAAGAGAGAAGCGAACAGATAGATTATCTGTGAAATAGTACCACCCCCAACACTTGCTTACACGATTTAATGAAATCACTGAAAAACTTGGAGCAAGATCCAGACAAACATTTACTCAGACAATCCGCTCGGCCGTAATTATTGGAACTATTTATTCATTAGGTTCCAACCATGACCAATTTTGAGTCACTATTTCACATTATTTGGATATGGCAACTTATAACAGGTAGATAGAAGGACGGACTTATGGAGGGAGAATCATCGACAGGACATTAATACAATTACTGTTCAGTTTTTCTATTGTGATACACTAAAAATAAGCGTTGAAATAAAAATAAGAAGATTAACGAATTTGAGATAAAGTTGATGAAATGCTTCTTAATAAATGATTTAGGTAAACGGAACCCCTTAATTCATAAGATTACGCATTAGTCTATCAGAAATCAAAATTTGGCAAAATTATTAACCAGTATATTTTACACTACTTAAAGTTTTAATATGTTTATATCTACCTACAAAAATTACAGAGGTAAAGTTGAATATTTGAAACAAACTTTTTAATTTTGTCTTTCATGCGGGGTATCATTTCGAAAAGTGTATTTAACGAGATAGTCTGGGAAATCCCCGAAAATCGAGCCATTAATTTTTCTCCTCGAATTATTTTTACTTGAATAAACTAAGCAATTATAAAACGTAATTAAAATGGATCTGAACTGAAACAATAATAAAATCTTTAAAGGAATTGTTAGTAGATCTAAAGTTTAATGGAAGAATTAGGTAATATAATATTTCTATAAAACAATAAATTATATTTAATGACATGCGATTTGTCACTAACAAATACAACAATAAATTGGTGTTTAAATAAGTTACTTTTCCTATTAAATAAACAGCCAGAGATGAGACTTTTATTATTTTAAGACGATATTCCTAAAAATTTGCAAATACTAAAATACTTTCTCCTTGTCTTTGGATTATCTAAACAGCCGTAGAGATCGTTCAGTTTCAGACAGTCTAAAACAGACATTCCCTTTCTTTGACCCAATTTTTTCACTCCAGATACTTTCGGAGTAATTGTCGGCTTTCCACTGCCTATGCTGAAATAATTTTTGCCATAATGCATAATGGAATCGAAGTCATACTCGAAACTGAAAGAGGTATTTTCGGGACTCTGTTTCTGGAAATTAGACTTGTACCCTAAAAGGTGAAAATAATTACTTGGAAATTTAAAGTACATTTACTTTTTACTCATACTGCAATAGCATACTCACTAGGCACAATATTCTCTGGATGTATTTTAACATATCGGTCCCTGTCCCACCTGGAATGTTCGTGGAATATTCCTAAGGCATGCATTAGCTCATGTATCGCTCTACCCTCGTTGCCTAAACAATTTGTGCTTCTATCGGTAGGTGGTTGCAAACTGAGAATTTGTGAACCGCCTTTACGTCCTACGAAAGACCAGCATCCTGCAGGGTACTTGATGGGCCAAATGAGGAGATAATCGCTAACTTTTCCATTCCATGGAATAAATTTCACGCAGGTCATAAAATTTATCGTTCGGATCGCTCGATAAATCGTCACATAATCAGTCACATCTAAAATAATTTTTAATAAGAAAATTAGGAAAGTTCTAAGCTGAATGTGTTTTACCATACAAAGGACTTATGACGTAAGGAACGGTTTTGTTAAGCCAGAGCTTTTCGGGAAATATGTCCTTGCGGAGTCCAATTCTCCAGTATTTGTAAATGTCGTTTTCCATTGCCATGTCTCCTTGGAATAAACCGGGACGTACTTCAGGATCCTGGTCATGGAGTTGGTCTATTAAGTCAGCGTCTATATCGGCTAATATTGAGCCAAAAAAGAAAATTAATGAAATTAAAATGTCAGGGATGTTAAGCGTTTCAATTAAGAGATTACGGCTTTGAAAACCAATCCCAAAATTTGCATCGTTCTGAATTTCAAGATTTTAATCATTTTTGAGAGTACATGAATACAGTATCTACAAAATAAATTTAGTACTTGTTTATAATAACGTAAGCTTATATAAATATTTATACAACAACAATAAATTACAATGTGGACGTGAACCGAATTAGTAATAAGTCTTTTTTCAATTTAGTATATGTTATAACTGAAAAATGATATAAAAACTAATTGCACTATCTAGGACTTAAGTCTAATATCACTCTTTTATCAACCAAGACAAACTTGGAAACATTGAAACAGTAAAGGAAATGTATGGAATAGGAATACTACATTTTTGAAAATATAAAATTGCTGTAAAGCAATATACGAAATTTAGCTTAAAAGGGATGTTCGATTAAAACGTGTCATATTAGCTTAATTGAACATTTTGCTCATTAGAGCCATTTAGATCATTCATCAAATAAACGCAAAAAGAATAAAGCTTTCATTATTTAAACTACTGGAAGTGTAGTCGACCAAGGGATTTTTGAAAGTTTTAGATATTAAAGATGAGAATTGTAGATCCGATCCTGTATTTAACTTTCCCAAACACCTTAATCTCTCTCTTAAGCCAAAGTAGAATAAAACAAAAGTAAATAATAAGTACCTACATGTTTTCCGAGCAATGGATATCAACGAAACAAATTTTTTCTTATATTATCAACTATATCCAGGGGCAAAAGACTAGTATGCTTTGATTGCAGATAATATAGCAGTATTAGCATCCAGTAAGGAGGAGTTATAGACAGCTTTAAATAAAATGGAATCGGTATTGACAAAACAGTATTGTATGAAAATAAATAAAAGTAAGACTAAAATATTGATATGCAAGGGAAGGAAAAGTAGGGAAAGAGCGAATATAAAGATAGGACACGAAAAATTAGAAGAAGTGGTTGATTTTAAGCATCTAGGAAGTCAGATAAGTCAGGACAGAGGGAGTACTAGGGATATAAAGCAAGGTCGAGTAGCCTTCAATAAAAAGAAGTCACTTCTATGCTCACGAACGGTTAATTTAGAAATTCGAAAAAGATTATTAAAGATGTACATTTGGCGCGGGATGCTGTACGGGTGCGAAACATAAACAGTGGGCGCGACGGAAAAGATAAGGTAAGAAGCTTTCGAAATATGGTGTTTCAGGCAAATGATGGATCGTGGATAGAGAAGGTTAGAAATGAAAGATATTAGAAAGAATATGAGAACAGAGGACTCTATGGAAGTCAATAAGAAATAGACGAGATACATTGGTAGGATACCTTCTCAGGCATGAAGGCCTAGTCAGAGACATAATAGAGGCAAAAACAAGAGTTAAGAGGAATAGAGGTAGACCTAGATTAGATTACTGTTCGCAAATAGTTAAGGATGTGGGTTGTTCTAGTTTTGGGGAAATGCGAAGATTAGATCAGGATAGGAACGAGTGGAGGTACGTGTCCAACCAGCCTTAAGACTGACGACCTTATGATGATGATTATTATCAACTATAGGTTTTACCCGCGGCTTCGCTCACGTTGATGTCAGAAATACGTGTCATCGACGACCACATAAAACCAATTTTTCAACATTTTAGGAACAGTATTACTCTATGTCCTTTTCTGCACCCCTGACAATGTGTATACAAAGATAATCGACGACCACATAAAACTAATGTTTTTTTATCTTTCTGGAATAGTATGTTTTTTCTGGATAAAAGGTACCTTATGTCCTTTTCTGAACCCCTGATAATGAGTGTACGAAATTTCATGGTGATAGGTTGAGTAATTTAGGCGTGAAAACGCAGCAAACCAACTCATATTTGAATTTATAATTTTAGTTAGGATTTGTTAAAAAATATGATTGGTACGAACCATCTTCGGGGATAGGTGGATGCATGATGTCTGGTACATGAGGCAGAACCACGCGACTTATGCAAACATTGTTAAGTAGTAGGACCGCAATGACCAAAACACATCGCACCTTACACATTTTACTTAAGTAAACCACAATACTGACGCTACTAACGATATCACGGCTTTTGCATGCCGATGAATTAAAAGAACGGTGGCACATACCTTTTAAACCAGGTGGCACACATTTTACCGTATACTTACCATTAAAATCATTTCTCCATATTTGGAACGAAGATATGAAAGTAAATGAAATGAAATGGAGTAAATCAGGTAAACACTTTCATACAATTGTTTGTTTATCGATAACCGAAACGGCAAAAGTAGGTAAAAATAGTGATTAAAGTAAACCTTGCTGGTCATATAAAAAACAGATATCTGTGTATTAACTAATAAAGAGTTTTAAATTTTGATCGTCTATTTAAAAAAATTGTTGTTAAAAATTTTCCTTCACTTATGAATCCCAAATAAGTTAGAGAACAGAGGGATAATGCCATATCAGTGGTAGCCTTGACGGGGGGATTAAGTCAATTACTACTTAAGGGCGTCTGTATTTAACGTCAGGGGATCATTTTTTTATGAAATTAAATTGAAAATTTTGAAAGGTTTGGAATCGTTAGGTGGCGTAAATATCATCATAAGGTCATCAGTCCTAAGACTGGTTGGACACGCATCTCCACTTTTTCCTATCCTGAGCTAATCTTCGCATTTCCCTAAAACTAGGACAACCCACATCCTTAATTATTTGTGAACAGTAATTTAATCTAGGCCTACCTCTACCCCTCCTAACTCCCGCTTCTGCCTCTAGTATGTCTCTCACTAGACCTTCATGCCTGAGTAGGTGTCCTAGGTACTAACTTATCTCGCCTATTTCTAATTGACTTCCATAGAGTCCTCTGTTCTCCTATTCTTTCTAACATCTCTACATTTCTAACCTTCTCTATCCACGGTATCCTCATCATTCGCCTGTAACATCACATTTCGAACGCTTCCAACCTTTTCTTTTCTGCAGCGTCCACCGTCCATGTTTCACACCCGTACAGCGTCGCTCTCCAAACATACACATTTTTTAATGCTACATCGAATTCTTCTCTCATTATGGGATAACCTAGTTCATCTATCTCCACACTATCTTCCTTCTCTAATATATCTCATAACTCAAGGCCTGTGTATAGGTTCTCTAAATATATTTTCCATCTATCTGCCTTTTCCTCATTTTCTATCAAAATGACCCCTGCCTCGTTTCTTATATTATTACTACCATACCCTACATTTCTAAAATTCCTTTTAATTTCACTACTTCGAATTTTTCTTCTACCTCTTTACACATCCTATCCTTAGCTGCTCTACACTTCCTAATTATTTCCCACTTTATAGCCTTATATCTTTTTGTTATTCTTCGTCTGTCCTGTTTTTATATTTCCGCCTTAAATGACTTTATACAATCAATATATTATATGCATAAATAAAGAAAGAGCTAAAAATGTATGTATCCGCTTAAGTTAAACACGTGCACTCAAAGATGTGTAGCGCGTTCGATAGGTCTTTAGGGTAGTTCATGCATAAAGCCATTTTGGTTGCGATGGACAGAAGTGTGTGGGAGATGAAGGTGGCCAACGTGTCCATATCTATCTGTTTTAATCCCATACGTTTAAAGAATTCCAAAAATAGTTCCTGAAAAATTGCTATGGTGGTAAGGAAGATATAGTGGTTAAAACTAGTCGACCTAATGCATGTTTATATGTCGTCCAAATTTCCTATAATGTTCGAATTAGTATGTGTGTTTGGGCACAGACCACCGAACACTATTCTAGAATAAGTGAGAATCTAGTAGAATGTTCTTGAATATTTATAGCATTGACTTCGCTGGAGTGTTCTTGAATATCTGAGAATATCCTCAAGCAGAATGTTTTACATCTAGAGTAAACTGGACCGGAAGAATCAAGAACGTTCTGGAATGTTCGATGACCATTATACTTGAGAGGTGGAGCTGAGTTCTAGTAGTAAATTAGTGAATTTTTATTAATTTTGACCAGTACCCTAAGCAATGTTTGTAATCTTCTCATAATGTTCAAAATTTCTCCAGTTTGGTGCGTGGGTGTGTGGGTTTGCGGTCTACTATCGGCCATTAAACACCAGTTTCTATATTATTATCTTAGAATAGAAAGTTCTAGAATGAATTGGAGACGGAAGATTGCGAACGTTATGGAATATTCGAGAACCGTTATATTTGAGTGTTGAAATTGAATTAGTAGATTTTTACATATTTTGACTAATGTCTTATCTCCAATAATCATCATCATCATCATAAGGTCATCAATCCTAAGACTGGTTGGACACGTACCTCCACTCTTTCCTATCCTGAGCTAAACTTCGCTTTTCCCTAAAACTAGAACAGCCCACATCCTTAACTATTTGCGAACAGTAATCTAATCTAGGTCTACCTCTACCCCTCCTAACTCCTGTTTCTGCCTCTAA